TTTTTTTTTTGCTTTTTCGGGAGTATTGGTGTATTATTTTTCAGAACTCTTAAAAACATTTCTAAGAACTTATCGAATTATTTCGGAACTTTTCACGTTTTTGGTGCGAAGTTTTCGGGCTCATTTGTGACTTTGGACGCGGAACTCCTTTTCGTAATTTTTCGAATGTTTTTTTTTTGAAATTTTGGTTTTTCTTTTGGTTTCTGTTTTTTTTCGTAGTATTCGTTTTTTGGAAGCACTGGAGATTTCTTCCAGGATTTTTCTCGAAATTATTCGGTTATTTGGGTTTGTTTTCCACGACAATGGCATTTAGTTAGTTTTTCGTACAAAATGTGCTTTCTAGGCTCTTCGGGATTACTGGGACGATTCGTTAGTTTTTCATGAAGATTTTGGACTATTACCGAACTTTTTGGAATAGTTTTGGAACGTGGTTGTTTTTTAGAACGCTGTGGGATTCTTATTGTTTTACTTTACAGAGTTCTTTTCACAATTTTTTGCCAATTTTCTTGATCATTCGGTTGTAGTTTCTCTGTTATTGGGATTCATTCGGAATTCTGTTTTCTAAATATTTCTAAATATTCTAAGTTTTTTTGTGATTTTTTGTTTTTGGAATCTCTCGGGGCTTTGCTTTTTTCAGGGCTCTTCTTTTTTATTTGTAGGCACTATTCATAATTTTTTATAGAAGTTTTAGAACAAGTTCGAGGCTTTTGTTTTGTGGAACTTTTGATCCTAGCAACAATAAATTATAAATTTTTTCAAAGTTTGAAATTTATGGAGTTTTTAGTTTTCGGTACCTTTTTATTCCTTTCGGTATTTTCTGTGTATATGTTTAGCTTTTTGGGAGTTCTCTGAGACCCTTCTCAATTTGTTGGGCCCTTTCGGGAAGTTTAACCTCTACTTTTGACTATTATTATTATTCTCTTCAGCATTAAAGCCAAATATGAAAAGCATCCTTTGGCCATTTTTCAATAGAAAAAGCTTTCGCATTACAATGCTCTTTGTAATGTGACCAGCAAAAATGTTTGATAGTGATTCCAATCTATTTTTATTTGTGAAATTCAGAAAATTTTATTTTATTTTATTTCGGTTTATTTATTTTAACAACTATTGAACCTACATTTAAGCGTACCACGATTTGCGGTTTAACTCAATTAACATACATGCATAGAAAGTTTTTCAGTTATTTTAATTTGTAGTAGTCGTTGAAATTCTTTTCATTTGGCGTGCTTTTTACATGTTCACCAATCAATATTCAACACATGTATGCATGTGTGTGTATGTACTCCGATGCTCCGATATTGTACGTAAACGAGAGTATGCAGCTGGTGACCATTTAACCACGATTGGTCATAAAATTGTAATTTAATAGCATAACAATTGCGGTTGACAGAATAGTACTAACTAGTTAAAATAAATATGCATTGCTTACCTTTTTTGCTTTTGAGGTTTGTAATGTCATAAATATTTAGTAAACCGGAGAATTT